TATTATTATTAATCGTGATTTAATGTTTAAAAACAACATACAATAGATAAACATATATATATATAAGTAGATAAAACTTTAATTTTTTTTTTTTTAAAATAAAATTAATAAGATTAAGAATTAGAGCCAGCTAATTCGTATAAATAATATCATTATTATTATTATTATTATTATTTTTATTATTATTATTATTTTGGTGAAAGCAATAAAAACGACTAGAAAATGATTTCGGGTGAATTATTTTGAGCTTTTTTTCTTTCTTTTTTTTTTTTGGTATATCATGTGATTATTTAATGTGCGATACAAAATATCGATATATCGATATATCGATCGATCGATCGATTCATATTTCCCGCCAGATTTTTTTTAAAAAATCGCTCGCGAATTGAATTTCTTCAAATGATATAATTATTATTATTATTATTATTGTATTGAACAAAATGCTGCGATTCCTAAATCTCTCCTTTCCAAATCCGCGGCTCTCCTTTTAATTCCTTCGAGATAAACCTCTCGGTTAAATAATCCGGCGGATAAAGGAATTCTGAAACGTTTTATTATCGTTCATTTACATTCGGGTGGGGGGGGAGGGAGGGGGGGAAAGAAGTGTGTAAGTTTTCCTTACGTGTCGATTCCCGGACGTACGACTCCTCTATAAACACCCCAAACGGGTTTATGATCCGACGTGCATATGGTAGGCACAGATGAATAAGTGACGCATGATAAATTACCACCTTTGCTTTTGAATAAAATTCGATCCGTGTATGCTGGAGTTCTTTGCTTCGACGATGTGTCAAAATTTTGAGTGCCGACATCGTATTTGTACGTCGGTGGAAACGTTATGGAACCTTCTTGAAACGTCGACAAACACGTGCCTGTAGAAAAGTACACGTGTAAAAAAAATTCCGACGATAATTTTAAATTGGATTTCAATGTCATTTTTTTTTTTTTTTACCGTCTAATATTAATTTTTTCAATTGATCCGTTTTGAGATCTACGAGCAAAGGAAATTTGTATTCTTCGACCCAATGAAGAACGTCCTCACGAGGTTGTGCCAACCTAAAATTTAAATCGCCGAACCAAAAAACGCAATCGAAATTTTGTGTGACATCTAAAAAAAAAAAAAAAAAAAAATTTCATTTTAATTCAAAAATCAACAACAACAACAACAACAACAACAACAACAGGAAAAAAACAAAAATTACCTTTGCTTTTGATTCTGTGTCTCAAAGGAAGGTTTTTTGGTAAATCCAAAGATCTAACGATTCTTTTAACATCGTGAATCCTTTCTTTGACTTTTTCCTGATGTGCGGTTAAATGTGATGTTATAAACAAATAAGACGTTCCAAAAAGTATAAAAGCAATCGCTACGGCACCCTTCGTTCTAAATGCCATTCCCGGTCTGACATTTTGACTAGATTCTTCAGGAACTGCACAAACAAAATGGGTACATATATTGAACGATTGTAAAAATGAAATAAAATTTAGGAAATGGATAGGAAAAGGATGGCACACCTGAGCAATACCACAAAAGATCACGTCTTAGAAAAATAGCCAAATGAATCGTTCCTAATGCAGCAGAATGAAATAAAACGTGCGAGGGACCGATGGTCTCTTGAATTTTCACTTCCCAATCAAATCTTTCAGGTGAACTTTCCTGAGTACCGACGGCTATTATATCCGGTACATGTTCCAAACCATCTGGCAACATGAAATCGTTCAATTCGGAAGGTGGTGGCTCACCATTCATGTTCCACGTGCCTAAACGTCATAATGACAAAATTAAAATATGATGATAAATTTAATGAAGTAAAGTAAAATAATCAATCGTTACCGATAAATATTTTGATTTCCCGTGTCGGAAGTACTCTATCCAATTCCAGAGGACCTAACATGGAATTGGCACCGACGCGACCTTGAAGAAAATTTCTTTCCCTCGCTTTATCGGCTGGAATAAGATGAAGAACCTGAGCAGCTAATAATGATTGCCTTGCTAATGAATCCATCGACGGATGTTTATTTTGATTCGAAATGTTTAAATTGTTAATTAAAACGTTTGAATTATTTTTATTTTCTTTTATGGCATCGTGAGACATACGTCGTCGTCTGTCCTTCACATGAGGTACACTTTTTACCGAATCCGGAGATGAATGACGGGCCTAAATGCAAATAAAAATTTATTGACGTCATTTATGACACGTTTAGAAAAACAATTTAAATTTGTTTTTTAATTGAAAACCTTCAAGAATAAGTTTTGTAAAAATTTTTATATAATAATATTCGATGAAAAAAACTTACAGACAAAGTTGGCGATGATGGTGAAAGCATCAGATTGTCAACTGATAATCTTTTCGAATGATGTCTCCTAGGAATGTTATTATTATTTTGGCAAAGTGTAAGCGAATTTGTAGAAGAAGCACTAGAAACATTATTATCATCATCTTCATTATCATTATTATCATCATCATCATCATGATTGGCATATTTAGCAGGAGATGAAGTGCATGATGGAGGTTTGCTTAGAGAACATTTAAATTCTTTTTCATTTATTTTACAAGTAATATTTTCAACTTGATTTTTATCATTTGTAACAGTTATCGGAAAAGATCCCACATTTTTATTCGAAGTTGAATCTTAAACAAAATCACAAATTCGATACATTGTTTTGCTCATCATCAACTTAATCATAAACTCATTATTATTATTAATATTTATACCTAAATTTGAATCAGTTTGAGAACCTGAATCCTTCGTGTGAATTATTTGAGGTTCATCATCTTCATAATGATTTCCACCATGAGAAACTTGAAAATGATTTGAATGGGGTGGAGTGTGAGAACTACTTTCGGTAACAGCACAGCACAAACTTAATCTTGTCGTTCTAGATTCTGGATCTGAAATTTTTAATAATGATAATTCCTTTGACAAATCCAGAAAAAATAAATTTTACATAATACAAAATCACAATATTAATTTTTAAAAAAAACTATTTTAATTATTATAAATTATTCTCTTTTGGTAGTCAATTTATAAAAAAAAAAAAAAAAAAAAAAACATTTCATTATTAGGTAATCATATTTGTTTTTATTTTTACTTAACGCAGCCTCCTTAGTGTTATACTCACCAGAGTGTCCCCTCATTAAATTTTTTCTCAATATGTTTCTTGATTTTTTGGGTGATGTCAATTTAGAATTTGACATTGTTTCAACAATATTTTCTTCTTCTGATCCCGGTTTTAAACACCCGACTTTACTTTTACTTTGTGTTAATTGCTTACATGATAATAATTTTGTTTTAACTTTTTGTTGTGGTATATATTGTTGAGAATTTTTTTCAAATTCACCCATTTGTTTCAAAAATTTTTTACCTGAAAAAAAAACAAAAAATAGGTTCAATCATTTACATCCTTTTTTTTTTTTAAATTCGATAAATGAATTTTTTTTTTTTTTTTAATCTTAAGTGCCTATCATTAAAACCTGATAAAAATTACAAAAGTAAATTTGTTTAGTATGACCGTGAATTCTTAAACTAATATTTGCATATTGTTACAAATTTGGGGGGGGGGGAGGGGGGAGAAAAAAAAATTTAAAAACAATTATTAAAAAAATTTTTTTTTAAACGAATAAAAGAAAAAATGAAATGATGACCTTATAAAGACCCGGCATAAATGCATCATTAATGATAAATTATATCTCATGTTATTGAGCCGTGAATAAAGGACGTGTGCATTAAATAAAAAAAAACCAATAAATATTATTAAAAAACTTTGTTAATAAAATTAAATCGAAACGAATTTAATAATGGTATAAAATTAAACGTTAATTAATATCATTAGATAAAGATTTATTAAAAAAAAAAAAAAGAAAAAAACCCGTTAATCACAATTTATTTTAACTGCAATCAATAATCTTTCTATTTCGTTTCCTTAGAAACAAAATCATGAGGAAAATGAAAAACAAAGAAGAAAAAAAGCCTAAAACCTAATAAATTATTAAACAAATTTCTTTTTTTTATCCTCTACGTAAAACACAAATTAAATAAAATCCTATTTTTTTTTTCTGTTTAATAAAATGAAAAATTATTTAACACATTTAACGACCGTATGCCTCTATATGGCAAATTATTCAAACGTAAAAAAAAAAACACAAATTTTTAATAAAATAACGATTAAATAATTAATATTATATAAAAAATAAAATTTTAAATAAAAACCTCGACATATTATAACCGCTTGACAATATCACAATCGTTAAAATTCCAAAAAAAAAAAGAAAAAAAACGTTTAATTAAATTTAATCTTTTCCATTTTTCAATTCCTCCGCATCATACTGTTCGCGAACATCAAAGCAGACGACGTTAATTTAATTTATTTTATCGACCAATCAAATTCGAGTATTTTTTTTTAAACGAGGGAAATTCGACTTTATCTTTTTTGTTGAAATTAACCGTTAATTTTTTTTTATTAATTCTAAAAAAAAAAAAAACTCGTAAATCAATCGTTTATTATTATAAAATGACGAATACGAAATTATTATTATTATTATATTACGTAA